AAAACCTTCAATTCCGACGAACCGTCGGCATTTAAGGGTTTTCCTCGGGAATTACGACGGATGCTCGGGAATAAAAACACACAATCAGCGAACAAAAAAAACTTAACAACCGACGAACCGTCGGCATTTAGAGTTTTCCTCGGGAATTAAGACAGATGCTCGGGATTAAAATTAAACACATCGGCGAAAAGTCATAAAGCTAATCCATGCACGGGGTGTGAAGATAAACCTCGGGAAATCCAACGAACTTGTCGGAATTTAAGGGAATCTCGCAAGAATTAAACCGGACCCTCGAAACAAATAATTTCGAAATGTAATTCAGCCACGGGTGGGAAGACACATTTCAAGAATATGCCTGCGGGCTGCTTTTGGTTGCGACCCACCACCGCCCCGCCCCCCTCGAGATCCCACGCCCCACCGCCGTTGCAGAAGAAAGGGCATAGTGTCGTTCCTCAGAACCCCTCTGACAGGGAACCTTTGGACAGTTTCTCGACCCGCCACCCGCCCTCTTCGAGATCCCACCGCCGTTGGAGAAAAAAGGCCATAGTTTCGTTCCTCAGACTCAGAACCCACTCTGGCAAATTGGACAGCTCCTTCCGAAAACACAGATCATCAAGCTTGATCGCTAGGTTCCGGTGTGCAACCGTCCTTTGCATGGCCTGCTCCGGACTCCGGGCCGCATCATGTCGCTTAGTGACAATGACAACGACAACGATGACATGAGTCCTGTGAATGTGGTCGAACCTGCTGTAGACCACAACAGCAGCAACACTTCCGGTTTGCATTGTTCCACTTCTTCCAGCAGTTGTAGCAGCAGTGGCAGCAGTGGCGACAACACCAACGACAACGATGAATCGTCGGACGGCTCACATGGGCAATCGACAGTGAATGACGATCACGAGGTAACGGAACTGGACGTGATTGAGTTGGCTGAAAACGCAGATGCCAGGGCCTTGTTGTATTTCGTGTGAGCTCTGTTGGCAACATGTTTTCCACTGCGCTAGGATTTACATGGTTCGGTTTGGCAAAACGCTTTTTTTGCTGCGATTGGCGAATGCAGTGTGAGTCAGTGTGAGGTGAAACGCAGCATTGCGTTAGGGCCTCCTGGGCCGACATCGTTGAAAACTCTTTTCGAATGGGCAGATTTCAATGCACACACCCTATGCTTGGATGGCACGGAGCTGTCTGCAGCTACGGTGGAGAGATTCAATCATTTTGCACGAATGTGCAAGATTGAGATTCACGAATCGTATGCTGGGACATGTAACCCAATTTTCAGCAATGACAGATGTTGCAGGCAGCACAGTTGTTTGTTTGCATCAGTTGTGCGATTCCCGTGTATTCTTTTACTACACTTGACACTAACATGCAATAGGCGTGGTGATGCGTGCCGGTGCTGCACTGCGTGCGAATGTGACAAGATGCGACAGAAGACGCTCAAGACCTTACATCCTGCAGCCAGTCCGCAACCAGTGCATCGTGTTGATACTATGCCGTCGGCCAAATTGCCCTGTGCAGTGCCCGGGGTTGCTGCTGTAATCGTTGTAAGAACTAAGAACATGTGTACCATGGTGTAATTGTAACCAGTAGCCATGTGGATCAAGAGGCAAGTGTTGCCGGGTTGGATCAGTGCTGCAATCTGACTGTTTTAGGTGATCCGGGCTTCAGTCTTTGGACTTGAGAGTCAGCCAGCCAGCATGTATTCCAAATCATACACAGCCATGCAATTTAGCTTCGTAACTTCGTGTTACCTACCAGAATGCCAACCTACCAGACACCCAGGATTTGATGCCGCAACATCTTCTGAACGACTTGGAGGAGTACATAGAGCCGCAGCAGAGATCGTTGTTATGCAAAGCTTACGATGCTGTGAAGACTCAGCTGAATGTTGAGCTTCGTTGCTTGGCATCTTACACTCGTACTCCTAGTGCTAGTCGTATGACGTATGCCGGAGTTATATACCGACATATGCCGCTTGAAAGTCTTTACTGCCGTTCAAATTCTGGAGCAGCGTACATTTGCAATCTTGCGATATAAATTTCCGTTATCCTGTTTATGTTCTCGGCAGTTTTTGGTCCTGGTGGCGAGTTCAGTGTTACTGGTTAGTTGGTTTGTATTTTGTCGAGGTTTCTCAGACTTCGAAGAGGAATCGCAACCTGGGCGGAAATTGCGGGCACGTTACGGCGAACGATTGCTGGATGAGTACATGCAGATACTCAGCGATCCGTCTTGCATAGCGGTGAAAGCCAGTTGTTGCCTGCACTTCCATGCTGCTAGGCAAGAATTATGCGCCCATGCTATAGGTTTGCGTTTGCATTGTAAAAGAAAACATAACTGCCGGCAGCTCCAACTCTTTTCGCTTCTGTGTTCCCTTATGTTGCCTGCGTGGTTATGTTGTCAATGCTGCAGGAATGCCTGACTCCATGTGGATGTATGATTGCAGATCAGAACTCTGGGATATGCAATGGCGATGTGGTGAAGAAAATTAGGGTGCACATTGCGGGCTCCTCGTGCACAGATCATTCCGTCATCGGAGCCTTGCCTTCCAACTACCAACCGCCCAACACAGGCGGTGCCAGTGAGCCAGTGTCACTGAGGCAATCGACTGGGGCTTATCGGCCCGTCCTCACGGCAGCTGGCCATACGGCTTGCAGACGTTCTACACACCAAGCCGGATGCTGGGCAAAACGTCTTCGGGCCCCCGGGCCGTTGATATGCGCAAAAAAAAGAAAGCTTCCGTGCTGAATCAACTAAGGATATAGTTGTCCATGAATGCACGAGTGCATTCACTCACTGGGGTTTTGGGCGATATCTCCCAGATTATGTTTGCCACAAGTTCCTGAAGCCAGAATCATCGACCGACAACCCCGGCAAGTGTACTTCGGATTCCTGGCTTCTATCACACATGTTTGGGTGGCCAGCTGTGAGACCAAAGCGACTTGATTGGTTTGCACTCTTGGTCAATGATCAGCAGTCCAGCAGTCCAGTCCATCAGCCCTTCAGTCGGATACTTCGGTTGTACACCATCCTCACTCGCAAGGATTGAGTGGTGCTGGCTGAGCCTGGGGCGCAGATCATCTCAAAGCTGTATCGCCAGCCTGTCAGACCAATCCACAAGTTGTACTGTGCCTCACAGGAGTGCAGGGACATGGGGTTGAGAATGGCGGAATGCATCGGAGATGTTGCCCTGTTGTTCTATCACTATTGTTGCCATTTTGTTTGTGATGTCTGATGTCGATACAGTCGATACATGATGTCAAGCTCAGTAGTGTAGCCGCCACAGACGGCCACGTGCCACGACCTTGTCCCGTGCACTTACGCATTACACATTCCACCAGTCTGTGGCAGTCTGACAGTCTGTGATCCGAGCCCGTGCTATAGCATAGACTGTTGCGTCACACAAACCTCTTAGCAATCAGGTACACAGTACTCTTACGTCCGTAGCTACTTACTAAGTAGGTGTATGTCAGATTGATTCTCCCAGGACCTTCCGACGCTGTTTAAAAGGATCTGCTGATCTGTCCCGAATTGTCGGAATCCATAAACGTTGCTTCCTTGATGTGTCCAACTCCTTCCGTCAGGAGGAAATTGAGCTCGAAAGAAAGCGCTTGGTGAATACACAGTTCAAAGCTGCGCAATCTCGGTTCAAGGATTTGCTGCCAAGACGTGCCATTGAATCATGGGGCGAGGCGATGCTTCCACTTCTATGTCGTACACAATGTGACTGACAGGACGCAAGATGATGTGGGTGCAGCAATACAGAAACCTTAAGAAGGTTCGCAAGCTTGGCAAGCGAGGCCAGCTGATTCGGATAGTAACTGGCCGTGGCCTTGTCACGGCATGTGCTCTGTGTCATTCCGTGACGACCAGCCCTGACACAGGCGCGAGGCATGTGATCGTCAACCTGTTGCAGGATCCCGGAACTCGCCCGGTCGTGAACCGCTATCTTCCGACGCTCCTCGGAAGAAATGCTGTGATGTGGATTCTCGATACAGGCAATGCTTCATGTGACAATGTTCTCTCCACCTCCGAGATTGAAGAACGACATCTTCTCCCCAAGGACTTGTGCCAATCAACATGTCCACGATGTTACTGCTGTTGGGTCCCCGTGCTGATGATTGTTTTGCAGGAGCACGTGTGCGCGATGGTCATTCCTATGTCTGACTGGCAGGTCCCGAGCCATGGAAAATGGCCACATTTCAACAAACTGCCTTCTGACACACAGTGCAAGCAAATGTCAGGGAATGCTGCTTGCTTGAAACCAGCATGATCTGGGGGGCAGTGTGAAAGGGTACACGTCTTGCAAGTCCATACAATTTCCGTGTCCCAGGCATTCCACATGACAGTCGTCGGGTCAGTGCATGCATCGTGGCTGGCGACCATCACAGTCCGCAAAACATGATGTCACTTGCCAGCAGACGCAGTTCCGAGATCTGTCGTGTCTTTCGTGCCAGAATTCCAGATCTCACCCGGCCCAGGTTGCCGGGTGACACCGAACGTGCGCAGCCACAGCGGCGCACTGAGTGCAGCTGGGCGGCATGGGTCGCGTTGTTTGGAGTCAACTGACTTTATGGTATTTATGGTCAGGATCCTACAAAAAGAGTCCAAAACTTGGGTCAGCAACTGCAGGTCGCGATGCCTGCCGCGCCGAGACGCTTTTTAGAGCGCCAAAACTTCCAACTTCAAGAGATGCGTGAGATTGAATAGGGTCGTGCGATCGCATAGCTGAGTCTGCTTTGCTGCTTTGTAGACTGTAGTCTTAACTGTTCAGTCAAATTCGCATGATGGCAGTGATAGCCGAAGCTGGGATTCATTCGGAGTGGGAGGCATTCGCATAGCGTTTGAACCATTCTACAAGTCTCAGCAAGTCAGAGTAAAATGATGCAAAGTAAATCAGGCATCGTTTTCGGGACGGCAACCCGCAGTGCCGCACTGAAAAAAGCCACTGCTACTGCCTGTGTAGAGTCGTTGGAGTTCACAGCTTGATCGGTGAAGGGCCCATGTCGGGCCAAACAGAGGCTCAGGACTCAGACTCAGAGGAACAGGTCTTGGGTGCCGCCGCCACTGATGCAGAGACAGAACAAAATACTCCAGGACTTAATGCACCTGCGCCTGGGGCTTCGACCCCTTCGGCTGGCCTTAACATTGGGGCACGGGCGGCACGGGCAAGGCTAAGGAGGTCCTCGTGCGTCATATGTGGCACTCCGACTGACATGCGGCCCGGTCAAACCACAGCCGTCTGTGCCCGCGACAGAGGCCGACAGAGAAGCTTTCATGATCAGGCCGCCCGTGCAGGCAACCTTGACGATTTGTTGGAAGTCATGCGCGATCATCCTGAGACATATTTCGAGATCTTCCGTGCCTGGCTGGCTCAGCAGCAACTTGGCTAGGTGGGATGGCTGCATTCTGTTCGAGTCGTGCTGAGGCTTAGGTGCTGTGTGATTGCATGGATGAATGCATGGTGCTCAAAACATGATGACATGATGTGGAGGAGTCTGTGTAGTGCAGCGGTGCAGCCACAAAGTGCCACACAGTAAAACACACGGAAAACTTCACTTTGATGAAATAATATATTGTGTGGAGTGTCGGGGCGTAGTGAGACAAGGCGACGTGCTGTCGCTGTTGTCCTTGTGACCTTGTGAGTTTGGCGCTTGGAGAAGCTGCCAAGGTCACAGTTTCACTTGAAGGTCAGGGCGCCAGGGGCCCAGGGCCCAGAGGCCATGTCGACGCCAGGCGGCGATGTGGATGAGCACAAAAGGAATGCTGGCCTGTTCGAACATCTCGATCAACTAGTCGATGAAGTAGTGATACCGGAGTTGACCATGGACCCGGATGCGGAGCATACATCTGTCCCAGATGAGGCTGTTGAACGACCAGGGATGCCGCGGGATCAACATCGGCCCGGATGCGGGGCAGACTTCTGCCCCAGATGAGGCTGTTGAGCTTCCAGCAACTTCGAATCCAACTCCGGCTTCAGCTCCTCAGGTGGCTGAGGCTGAGGCTTCAAAGGGCAATGAGGACAAGCAGATCGCTCCATCTGCAACAATGGCGGGGACATTGGCGAGGATGGGTCCGTGCGGGGTGTGCGGGACTCCAACGCAAGCGAAACCTGGTAAACCCATAGCCGTATGTGCCAAGGATATGGGAAAGCAGAGAAGCTTTCATGATCAGGCCGCCCAGGCAGGCAAACTTAACGAATTGATGGAGCTCATGGTCAGCAAGCCCGAGGAATACCTGAAGTTTTTCCGTGAGTGGTTGGCTCAGCGACTTGGCTGGACGATCATGCAATCCTGGAGCGTACGATATCCGAGTCGTCTTGCGTCGTCATTAGGCAGGACTCTGTGACTTCATAATATAGTATCACAACTTCATGATTGCGGTCGGTCCAGAGTCCCAGGAACACGTCAACTCGTGGGAGGCCCACGGCAGCAGCGCACGTGCAGACAAGAAAACCTTTCAATGGACGGCTCTGGAGCAATTCAAAACGAAAGGTGTGCGCCGAAGCTCCAACATGGAGTATCATCCCATGTGCTACGAGGATTACATCGAGTATTACACGACCAAGGCTCCTGCCTACGAGCGATTCTCGTCGGCATGGCATGTATTATGCTATTAGAGTCGAATTTAAACGTGCCTCCGTCGACCGTGCCTTGTGTTAGTGTGGCACAGGCCTGAACAACGCGGCTGCCATCAAAAATGGCGCCATGACTTCAGCGACATCAACGTGCAAAAGACACAAGTCCCAAATTGGGGGCAGATGGGTTGCCGACAGGTGAGTCCGTTACTCGGTCTAAGCAAACGAAAACAAGTAAGGCCCGTCCACTGCGTTTGTTCCGATGACAACCATATGCCCCGTCACCCCGTCGACCCAAATATTGCAAGGTCTGGTGCTTGGACGTCCCCATGATTGCTAAGCGCAAGGTTTCCGTCTATGACGACGAGTCCATTTCAGCACGGGGCAATGTGACGACACAGCGAAATCCAGGCAAAGGGTTTCATTTTGCAGGAGCTAAACGGGTGAGACGTGTATAATAGACTCAGAGATGAACAGCGAAGTAGTTGTGCATGGTTGTAAGGTTGTAAACCCCTCGATAAGCCCAGTTTCCGTGCTATCTTACATGTGATTCACCGCTGGATTCTTCATTGTTCCACTGAGGCATCTACAGCCCTGCGGCCTTCTGCACCTGGCCAGTTATATGCAGACGCCGATGATCATTACCTGAGGTGACGGGCATTCAGGAGCGCCCTTCCATGCAGAGCCACGGTAGCTCAGAATATTTGGCAAGGTTTGTCGGCATGTTCGAGATTAGAGTCTGGCAGTTGCACCATCATATGCGACATGCAGCAGCATTTTGTCGCATCTGGCGTTTGACTGAGCACCCTACCCTGACGCTATGGCACCAATGGCGTGGCTGCGGCCCTGCATTGAGGCGTGTGTGGAGGCCCAGTTCCAGGCCTGGAAGCTCGAATGCCACGGACAAGGAGCCACTGCCAAGTGGAAAGTCCAGGTCGGCGAGACCTGGGTGGCATGTGATCCCACGGCTGACGGAGCGATCAATTTGTTGGACTGCAACACGGCCAAGGAACAGCCAGAGTTTTTCTACAACAACTCCATCGCAGGTGTTGCAACTGCTTTGGAGTGCTTGCTCCAAGGCTGGGGGTTGAAGCCATGTTTCAAAAACCCTACCCTGCAAGGCCTCAACAGCTCAGCTAAGTGGACAGAGAAAATGACACTAGAGTCATTAGAGCGACCCAACTCAAGAGGGTGATTTTTGGCCTGCAGCCGTTTATAAGCGGTAGCACAGACACAGTCAACCCTGGCGCAGGTCGGACGGACTTTGCAGCCGCCTCAGCGGTCCATGATGAATGGATGCAGCTGAACCCGTCCGCCCCGCCAGAGCAGCGGCAGCCGTGGAAAGATTTGAGCGTCTCCGACCAACGGAAGGACGTCCAGTTTGCCACCGAACTTCGAAAGTGGCTGCTGGAGCACGTGGACATGATTCCACAGGACCGGGAGCGTGGGCTGGGGCTTGCGTGAAACCTGGTGGATCTCTTGAACAGAGCAAAACCTCAGCCAACCGGTGAGTCAAACTTTACGTAAAGAAAATACACATGCGCAGAGCTTCAGGCTGCCGCAAGACTTGTGCTAGGAATGCGCAACAGCTTAGCCTTCCAGTCTTAAAGCGCTTACAAGGAACACATTTCGGACACGGCCCTGGACATCATTGAGGCAGGCGGGGTGTTCACCCAAGAGGACATCCAGAACCAGTGGCTCCCGCACCACATTACAGAGACCCCGCTCCTGGACAGTTTAATGGAGCAGGTCCCCGTGACCTTCCACGATTTCTTGGTGGACTAGTTTCACTGGCTGCCTCCTGTGATGGCTTCATTTTTGACCGCAGTGCCACAAGGCTGGATTTTGACGCAATGCAGAAAACGTCGAGCTGGCGCATGGGCATGATGTGTCGTTTCGGATGATCAGGGAGGCAAGCATTACGTGACGACATGTGACATGTGCTTGTTCGATTTGGTGGGTTTGTGTTTGACAGCACCAAGCGTGATGCTTAGCTTTGCGTCTTGCGAAGTTACTTAAAAACCATAACGGCGCCCGAAAGAACTGCAGGAGCTGTCGTCACGCAGGGCCTGCTCTGCGGCTCTGCGCATTAGCTGGCAAAGTTGGCAAGCCCAACCGCCTGGGAGGCTTTGGGCTGCCCATTGCCAGGGGCTGCCTCAAGTTTATAATAGTTCATGCAGAGTTTAGGGTTCAGGCTGGCAGAAGGGTCTATGCCTTGGGGAAGGCGCCAAGGGAAGGAGCGTCAGTGTTGCGCTTTTCGGAGCTCTGTGCAGCGCCGAAATTCAGGGGGGCAGGCGATCCAAGAGCACGAAGCCGGAGCGAAAGGAGGAGTCTCAGCGATAAGCTCTACAGAGCCAAAAGCTACGGAGCCAAAAGGAAGAATAGATATGGAAAGGGTACACAGTAGATGTTCTAAGATTGGGGGATGGAACCCGTGCGCAAGGGGACTTGAAATGATTGTGGGGGATGGAGCCTCTGGGCAAGGGGACTTGAAGTGCATTTGCGTGTCATAAGAAGCTAGCTCATTCCGGACCCTGCTTATGATTATTGGAACCCGCTGGCAGTTTTTACTGCGCTAGAAGGTGCATTGGAGGCCGTGTCCTGTTGTTTTGAGGGGTCGTTTGAGGTCTGGGTGTGGTCAAGAGCAGTGCTTCCGTGCACGATTTACTTTCAGTGGGCTGGTGGTGCTCGGCGTGGGTGAAACAAAGCCAGCGTCTTGTCTCTAGGAGCAGATTGTCCAGCCGGGCAACCTTCCTAACATATCACCGCTTTTGCTGCAGCTATTGCACCAGCGTGCCTGTCACAGGTCCTCTTCGCAGCCGCCTTCGCGCCGTGTGTGGCCTGTCGAAGGTTCGCAGCGATCCGAGGCAGAAGAATTCGTAGCAAAGCTTCGTCCAGGCGGTCGTGCAAAGCTTCGTCCAAGACCTGGGTTGGTAGTTCTGCCTAGGTCCGGCCTAGGTGCCCTTGGCTTCTTCGAGAGCGCAGAGGATTTTCCAACTCAGAGATAGTAAGATACTCTTACTAAGCGCTGCAGCTTTTGATAGCTCATACTGCTGCCCGTGACTACCGCTTTTCCATTCTTATATAGCAGCTTTTTGTCCGCTCGCCTTTGTGTGTCTGTCGTGGCTGTAATCCCCAGGCATTGTGGCCTTCAATGAGACGCTTGTCCGATCGTACTGGGGTCATGTGTTAAGGCGTGCCGCCCAACAAAAGGCGTAACAGAACCCATGTGCGGGGGTGGGGGGGATTGTGCTGTAAAGCTTGGGTCTGACCTCCACTTAATGGGCATGTTCTATGCTGCAGAAGCATGTGCCCTAGCTGTCCGACATCTTGCGACTATCACCGAGCGTTGCTGCAGAGCCCTTGCACAGCTCAGAGGGCTTTCAGGGGGGTTCTGGGCATGCATGTACGTGGTGCTATCGGTTGAGCGATACAGTACTTGTTTACCGTATGTTCACACTCCAGACCTTGCGTGCTTGCAGGTGAAAAGAGCGTGGAGGGAAGCCGGCCGATTTTGGGGTTTACACATTCTGCTGGACGCAGGTTTGGGTGTCAGGTGGGGTCAGAGAACACTGCCAGCCTCGCTTCCTTTTAGTTACAAGAATGTCCCTGGCATCAAAATGGGTATCGGTCGCCCTGATCGCCGCGAAGTGTATGCATCTTCCCTTCGAGATTGACCGTTGTACCAACTCTGTGTGGATTCAACAGTGAGGTATATTTTGTATAGTCTTGCCGTCAGCGTTTGTCAAGGCGTTGAATTACATGGGTTACAGATCAAAATGTGGTACTGAACTCGATAGATTTCGGTTGAAAACG